GTGTAGAGATGCTTCACCAATAAAATAAATCTTGGAGCAGTGTTATATCCTTAAAAGGGCACAGTATTGGGGGTCAGATAAATCTGGGATCCAAACTCATGCAGCCTATTAGTATATTTGTGACTCAAATGATCTTTCTGAGCCTCAGTTTCCTCAGTTATAAAATACAGAACATTTTAATGCTTGCGCTCAACAAGGCATAGACAACTGTGTAAAACTATGATTGAAAAAAAAAAATGTATGATCTAATGCTAATAGACTGGGTGGGGGAACCCAGCAGGTCCTGTCTCTCTTCATTCTTCCTGGCCTCTCTGAGCATGTGTTCCTTCCTTCTGGGTATAAGGCAGGACCCTCTCTGGAATGGGTCTTATGACCTACAGTCAAACAAGGTAGGTCAGATACTAATGATTTCTTTATGATCAGTTTTTACACAGATAGGGTGCAGGAAAAGTTAGAGTAATATTTTAATCCATGAGTATTTTAAGTTAGAGTCATATTTTAAGGTTTTATGGCTGGCCTTAAGGAAAAGGGGTGCTGGTTTCTCTAACCCACCTTGGGGAGGAGGGATTCTAGTTTCTATGGCCAGCCTCAGAAGAGAATGGGACTGAGAGATAAGAGGGCAGAAGCCAGAGAGAAATTTTTGCTTCTGAGGCTGTTTCTGAGGCCTTCTTTTTGACATATTGCTTTTAAAATCCCAACACTACCCAGCATGCTAGTGAAGCAGTTGATTTCTATTCTGACCCAAGCCTGTTTTCTTTCCCCATACTGGTACTAAACAGTTGCCTCATCTTCAGACCACACTTTGACTAGCTCTGCTCTAGGAGTCTGATGCTCGGGGGAACCTCTTCTCTTTGTGTTAAAAGACTTATGTCTCTTTCATAGACAATCTAACATAATGTCAGGACAAAACAGTTTATTAAGTTGATTTCACACTTTTTATATCCCCATTAAATGTAATAGCTTAGCATACACATGGCTTTCAGCCTGCTTGAAGTTGAGCATGTTCTTTTTTTTTTTTTTTTTTTTTT